CAAACTCTCATGTTGATGCTATTTCAGTTAGAACGCAAACCAGAAGTGTGTGTTTATGTGAATGCAATGGCACATGAACGAGACGTAAAAACAAGCGTTCGTGAAATGAACACTCAGCTGAAGCACATCGGTGTTGCAGGTCCAAATTTAGAGGTAAACATTAAAGTTCCTACTGGAATATTCCTTCTCATAGGTATTTCCCACAAGTATCCAGCTGCTTGCAAATCATCATCCTCACAATAATAGTGAACGGCTCATTTGATGATGAAATGAAAAATTGATTTCACTTCCTCGGAAGTGGACCGTTAAATGTACCATATAGATTGTATTCCGGAAGCGGTTTATACAAATGGAGGAAATGTATTCTTTGTGGAGACATGCGTTCTGCTTTTAAATGATTGCGGAACTCCAGAGAATATTCCGTGCTATTTTTCAGGTGACGGGTCGTATTCGCGCTCAACGTGTAACCTTTGAATCCACGGTTGGTGCGTTGCACACAAATGCGAAATTGTTCGCGAGAAGTGTGACCCTTAACGCTCAGAACATATTCATCAAAACCGAGGCATTATTCTCGTGCGCAAAGATTCGAGTAGGTTTTGCGGTATTCCTCTCATTGAAGAAAACATTGATCAGATAATTGGCGTTGTAGCTCATTTCGTTGGCTACATTGTTAATGGTATTTGCTCTGTGTTTGCTGAAACGTTAAGAACGCAAATCTATGAGGATAATTATCAACCATTGGAAGAAGCCATTCATTCTGATGCACGAGTGCATTAAAAGCTCTCAACATCTTCGTCGACTTTCTGAAATCTCGAGCTCATCTAAAGTGATCATTGTTAACCTCATATAATTAGGATACCACCTGATAAGTCCTGCTTTCAGATGATGTCAAGGCGAGTGCAAATTGACGGCAGAATCTGTCCATGGGATGAGCAGCCTGATCGTATGAATGTCGCTGTTGACTCGGCTCTGTTGCACATTGGCATTGACGGAGTTATCGGATCTTTAAAGTCATTAAAGGAGAAATCCGTATGTCATCTGATCTATCTATCGTTTTGTAGAAGTTATGATAATTTAATTAGAGTCGAACTTGATCGCTTAATCCGATTCCGAAGTTCCACGACGAGCAATGTAGATATTTATAGAAATCAATTGTTGC